TTTTTGTGTTAAAAGAGTCTGGGCAGTCTTTGTCTTCATTATTAGAAAGAACATTTATAAATTTTCTTTAAATTCTAAAGCAGAGAATAAGCGGTTAACTAACATATTTTCTGGTTCTTATTAAACCAAAAAGAGATGTTGGGATCTCCAGCCTGCATATGTATATCATGAGCATCTACAATAAAAGGTTTAAGATTATTGATAAAAGGAGTTCCCAAAATAATACCTTGTTTGAGGTCTTTGAAAAGAATAAAAGAAGTTTTAATTTTTTGACCTCCATTGCAAATGTAAACATTAGAGAGTTTATATCAGGCTTTAAGAGCTTGTCCATTAGCTGCACTGACAAGATGAGATGTTTTCTCATAAAATCTAAGAGGCACAAGATTTTCTCTAATGCAATTTACATCTGCTCCAGTATCGATAAGGGCTGTGTGTTGGATAGAGTATTCGTTTATAATGTTAAGCATGATATTACATCTCCATTTTTTCTCAACATATTTTTTTATAGAATTTATAAATTCATTATCTTGTTCATGTCCAAAGGTTTTTGTTTCTATGAAACCTTCAAATTCTTCTATGGTTTTATTCTCTAAGTAAGTTTCTAAAATTTTTATTTTTTGTTTTAGTTCAAGAAGCTCTATTTTTATTTTTCCTTGTTCTTTTTGAAGTTCTTCAAGATTTATTTTATTCTCAATCTTTTTTTCATTTTGAATTCTGTTTATGATTTCAGAGAAAGTAAAATATTCGTTGTCTTTCTTTTCCTCAAGAACTTTTGTTAAATTTTTTCCCCTTATTTTTGGTCATTTTAAGATACTTAGATAATTGCATTCTTTTTTCTTGTGGATCAGTGATAGCATCTATAGTGTAAGAATAAATTGTTCGTGTTCGCTTAAGTTGTTTAACTGGGAAGTTTCTGAAGAGCTTTTAGAAAAGTTAAAACAAGTGCAAAGATTGTTGCATAAATCTTCATGATCTGAGGAATCATTATCACTAAGTTTCAAAGTATTAACAAACTTATCAATTTCTTCTGTAGTGAATTCTTTGGAGTCTAATAGAAGTTCATTGAATTTAGTTCTTAGATCTTTTTGTAGACATTTATTAGCATAATGCCCTTTCTTTTTGCATTTATAACAAGTAGGGGTTTTATTAGTATTTTTTTTGTCTTTCTTTTAGGAGATTCTTCTTTCTTTATACTTCTTGGTTTCTGTCGTTTTTTTATAATTTCTAATTTTTGGGTTTTCCATTTGAAAACCAAATTGATAGCAGAAGTCTCCTAATTCCCTTTTTCCTAAAAGGTTTTGGTTTCTTAATTGATTGTTAATTTTTACATCATTACAAAGTTTTAAGCCAATAGTATTTACTCTTTGAATTAATTCTCCGAAAGGAATTTGATCATAAGGTATATGTCAATTACTTCGTTTTTTAATGGATTCTCTTATTCTTTCAGCAAATAAGGGTGGAAGACCCGAAATGAATTTTTCTTTCCAAATGGGATTATTACAATCATGTAATTGGTAGACCTTGGAAAGGAAGGCATCTTTATACCATCTAAAGTCTGTAAGGGTTTTACATCTAAAATTCATGAGTTCTCTAACTTTATCTTGAAGGCTATTAGCTAAGCCAATAAAGTGATGGTAAATAGAAAGAAGTAAGGTGTAAACAGCATCACTAATATAATGTCCGTTTGCATCGCGAATCGGCTCTCCTAGTTGGTTTTGTTTATAATTATTTAAAATGTTAATTTTATCTGTTGGAGTAAGATAATGATCCCACCATCCTTGCAACTGTCCAGAAAAGGAAGAACATATTCCACTTGCAATATCTTTTTTAGTATTACCGTGTTGTCTGCAAGCATTAGCGTAAATAAGCATTTTTTGTAAAAGATGTATAGTTTGGTATTCAGAATATCCATCAAGATTCCATTCAACAAGAGAATTTTCATCAAAATTTGTCTTATGATTATCAGTTATTTCTTCAAATTGCATATCGGCTGGAGTGGGTTTTCTATAGTAATTCTTTGAGCTAGAAGGTTGTTTTCTGATGTTTTGGATAGTTTCATTATAATCAGAAGGATAGTCAATTGTATTATCAAGCTGAGTTTCATATTCTGACAAAACATTGATGGCGGGAGATTTGTTTAAAGATAAGTCTTTTAATCTCTTAGTTAATTCTTCAGTAAGATTACTCATTTTTTTACTTTGTTTAAAAGGTTTATTATTACCTAATTTAATATTCTCAGTGAAAGTCTGAGGAGCAAAAGGTAGCATAGATATCTGATTGATGATAGGTTTTTTCCTGTCGAGAAGCATGTTTTTGATCCTATCTGTTTGTTTACCTATGGTTTGAAGATGAATGTTAGTAAAATTATTTTGCTTAATAACCAGAGAGATATGTTCTTGTCTGGCTGTGTTGGAATTTGACACAAGAGTTTTTATAGGAGTAACTCTTACTTCTTCTTTACCTTTACCAATTTTTATTGGTTCAAGAGGAGGATGTAAAGATTCAATTTCTTTATCCTTTTCTGTTTTCCACGTATTTGAAATCTTTTTTAGCATATAAGCTTGGTTTTTAGTAGGTAAATGTTTAAGAGAATTCTTTTGATCTTCAATGTAAATAAACTCATACCATAAGAAAAAGGGTATATTTTTTCTAATGGTTTTCATACAATCATAATATAGGGTTCGAATTGATGACCTAAAGTCCTCTTCATAAGTTTTAAAAAACCATTCCTTTTTGTGTTGGTTTTTAGGGGAATTAAATTCTTTTATTAGGGATTCTTTATCAATCTCAAAAGGAGGTGTACCATCAAAGTTTTCAATAACATTAATACTTAGTCTTGATGAATCAGAATCATCATAAATGGCAGTTGGTTCCATATTGTATTTAATTCCTATTGGTTTTTTGTGTCTAAAGAAATCTTTTTCTCGAGAAGGAATTGAAGAAACTGAGGTACGTCGTTCGTCATTAGCTTCAAGAGTAATTTTTCTAAACGAAGAAAAATTAACCTCGACATCACCATTAGGATGTTCAACAATTTTTTGAAGATTAGAATTTTCAGGGGGTAAGGGTTCAATGACTTGACTTAATTTCCAAACTGAAAGAAGTTGAATTTCATTCCATTTTAAAGTCCGTGGTACAACTAGATTATTTTTAACATGGGTAAGAAATAAAGTAGTTGCTCCTTTCTCAGGGTTAGCCTTAACTAAAGGTGTGAGCATGTTCATGGCTTTATAGCAGATTCTATAGGTTAATGCTATATTCTCAGAATTAATATCCATGTTAAATCCAGAGGTTTGAGGATTTAAAGTTAGAACTTTGAGGATGTCAGGGTCTGATAAAGAAACTGAAAAGTTTGGAAAGACATTAAAGAATATCGGACCATTGCTCAGGCTTGACTCAATTAGACCTATTAAAGAGTCTAAAAAAACAGAGAATCTTCCGTCTCGTAAACAAACAAGAACAGAGGTGTTGATGCCATTTCTAGTAAGGGGTCTAATACACTTGAACAAGACCAAGATGAATGAATTTAAGAGTAGGGTCTTCAATGATTCTTTGGGTATCTTTATCACTAAGTAATTGTAATTTCTCTGTGTGAGAGGTTACAGTTTTTGTTTTTTCAATGGTTTTAACGTGATATGCTGTTTTTAGTTTAAAACATTCTTTACAATAGATATCATTAGTACTAACTTTAGGCATTTTCCAATTTTGAATTCTTTGATCAATATTTTCATAATCTAAGGATTCTGAGTTTTTAACCGACATAGTTCTTACATAGGTATTCTTTTTGTCAGGAGAGAGATAGCATAGAAACTTAGACATCTTAAGAAAGAATCTAAAACTTAACCTGTTAACAGCAAGGGATGAACACGGACAGAAAAGCCCTAGACGCACACAAAGCTTAGTGGGCGAAAACCGTGTGAACTGCGACAACTAGTTAAGAGAATAAAGACTTAAAGAAGATAGAAAAGTAAACAAGCTAGATATTAAGCAAAAGTAGAAACTCTAAGAAGTTCGCAGTGTCCCCACCAGTCAACAACATCGGATGAACACAGAACAAAGCTGTGTAAGTTGCGACGAAGGCAAGAAAAGGAGAACAATGACAGAGAACTAGAAAATGCTAGAGATCCTAGATCATACTAGAAAATGTAGAGAATTAAAATTCAATTCAAAGAAAACAGTAAAGCAAGAGAGAGAGTATGACTCCTATCAACTTAAGTTGATGTTCACTAAACTTCCTAGCCACTCATTTATTAATATAAAAAACCTTTTCATATCATGCAAGGATCCCTATGCAATATGAGTGGCTAAAAAGTTTGGTGGAAAAATTTTTGCTATCAACTTAAGTTGACACAATTTTTGCTATATATATATATATATATATATATATAGATCTTCCCATTTGCCAGTTCAACTTTTAGAAATCACACGAACTCCTCATACTCTCATGTTAACTTGTTCTAAGAATCTTTTGTCTGCAATTTCATTTGATAAGTATGTAATCTCGTTGCTATATTTCCGTCAGATTTGCATTTTCCTTCTTTGCTCTGAACCTGAACCAATTCTTTGCACTCACTCACCTGTGTACAATCTGAAAGTCAAACAGACCTTGAGTGCACTAGCAAGCTAATGGCCTCTCTCTCTATTCCTTGCTCCCATTCTCTATTTACTGAAAATACTAAATGACAAGTTTACTTGCTCACCTGTGAGTGATTTGAACCGAAAATGTACCTTCAAGAGTGATTGGCAAGAGGATGGCCTCTCTCTCTTCAGTGTTTGATTCTTTGTTTGCTGAAAATGTTAAGTGACAGCCTTGTATAAGTTGAGCTTTTATCTCGGTATAGGATGAAGTAATATATCTTTTCTCCCTTGGCTCACAAATCACTATTTCGTGGAAATTATTGCAGTTATGATCTTTGAGGTTGACAGTTTACTTGTGAATGTGTATTAAATCAAGTCAAGTACGCTAATGCTTCGTTTTTTTGTTGAGATGCCTGTTGCAGATTTTTCATCACTAGTTCTGTTCTTGATCTCACAATTGTGGGCCTTGACACTGTGGACACTGACTCAACTTCACAACAGGGCCACCAGCCTCATTATCTGAAGACCTGCTCTAATCCAAATCTTGATTTAGGTAGCAAAGTCTATTTGTTAGGGCATACTGATAAAAAGTATGAACTCATGGTTGGTGAAGGGAAAGTAGTAATAGCCACTGACAACCTCATCAAACTCTCAACTGATGGGATATCATGGTGTCCTGGATCTGCAGGCTTTGACGTCCAAGGAAATCTAGCATTCATGATTTGTGATCCCATGAAGCTAGGGACATCTCTCATTGCAAAATCTTCTACTTCTGCTTCTTCTTCGTCATCATTGTCATGGAAAAATGATTCTCCTGTGCAATTTGGGATCCCCATTCCTATAATCTGTGATTGGTTATACCAACACTGGGAAGGCAACTTGAATGAGCTTAGCAAGCCCAAGCTACCCCTCATCCGATTGATGTCTTCTGGACATAAGAGTGAACATTTGAGTGCATCGTTCACCCAACGTCGAGTCTTCAAGGACACAAAAGGAGAGGCCGATGATTTCTTGTCATCTTCACATATTGCTTCAAAACCTAGGTTTCCACTTGGATCAAATAACTCGTCCAATGGAAATGCATCCCATGAACAAGGTATTCCAACTCCAGAGATCTTTGAATCTCCAAAGCTGACTTCAGGGCCAGTACGGAAAACAGAAATCATTCCTAGAGTGACAAGATCTATTGTTCTTCCATTGCCTCTTAAACAATTGTTTATGGACTCAGAGGCGAACAATATTGAAGAAAGTAAAAGCCGAAATCTGGCGAGCGAAAATTCCAATGAAGGTGATTGTTGCAGTGAGGTGATGTCTAGCTCGTCTCCGTTGGAAGCTTCTGCTGTACAAAATGATGCAGATGGATTTAGCAGTGGCGAGGAGACAATGTACTCAGCTGAAACTATGGAGAGCCGTAACTTTCCAAGCCCTAAAGGGAACAAATTCCAGCAAGTTGGTCGGAGTCAGAGTTGTGTAAATTCCAATAGATGGGGTTCTACTCAAAGAAACTCATCAGCAAGAAAAGGAGCAGCATTGCAGAAGCAGCAGAGTATGATTCCAATGAGAAGAACACGTTCTCATGGTTTGCCTCAGAGAAGCCATGATTATTTCAGCCCTACTGTCTCATCTACCATGAAGAAGAGGAATAGTTCTGAGCAGTCACTAAGGCCTCGGCAAACTGCTCCTCAGGCATCTCCAAGGTGGAAACATTAACTCCGATAATTTTTGTCATTTTCTCTCCTTTTGTATTACTTGTGAAGTTCGTTTGTTCCTTTTCCTCCTGATGCGATCATTTATTTTCCGTTGTCTTTCTTCTTTTTGTGACTTTGTGCAGAGTGATGATAAGATGAATAAATTAAAACCAGCAAAGAAAGAATCCTGACACTACACTAAAAGGTAATTGTAATCAGCAGTCTTCAAATTTGTTATACTGTCCATCACATCCGAATGAAAATGAGTCCTATTATTTATATGGTTTTGAGTCATGAAAAATGTCATATGGCCCAAATGGCTTTCTTTTTGTTGTCAAAAGCTATCAAGTCCTTGACATGCTGGTTGAGAATGACATTTTGTGGCTCACAACTTCAGCATAGCTCTAGAATTTTCATGCTTTATGAGATACTGAGATTATGAACTGTAGATTGGCTTCTTCACCTAATTGTGGTATGTTTTTTTCCTGTTACATCATCCAATAAGGTCAAGGTATTGTCTACTTTGGAATACAATGTTAATTGGTCAGAAAATATTGTGCGCTTATAAATTGTGTTTCGAGATTATTTTCTGTGCACTAGAGTCAAGCATCAGGGTGACTCCATATTGATATATCCTGTTCAGATAGTCCTGAAGAGTGTTTGTGATGCCTCGGAAGTTGTACGTGTGAAAGAGGGTCCAACTATAGACACTTCCAAACAGTAACTTTGGGGGTGTGTGAGGACTAAATTGTCCTCCTCCCAAACCAAAACAGGCCAAGTCCATTCCAGAAACACCCTCAACATCAAAGGGCATTTTCGGCAATCCAACTCCCAAAATTACTGTTTGGGAGTGGATATAGCAAACATGTGTGAAAGATGGCAGCTGCTATGGCCTCAGTGGTTTTATTGCCAAATCATGTAAATCATGTTGATTCTCCATTAAAATCCTTGCCATGCAGTTTGGAACCTCAACATAGCCATATTTTTGTTTTAATAGAGTTTCACCTCTATTGTTTATATATGTTTCTTTCTCCCCTTGTTTTTTTTAGTGGATGCGATTTCAGTTAAATTTTATGTATAGAATTATGAAGGATTCATGTCTATGGTGCAAAGAGATCTAGAAGTGAGGCCTGAAAGAACTTGGTTGAAACAATTAAGAAAGATATGGAAGTACTGTTAAACAATATCTGTTAATTTGGAAAATAATTGTACCCTAACAACCTAATAGATCATTTAATTTAAATCCCTCCTCTTGTAGGCCTCTATGTGCTGATAGAGAAATTTTAATTTTGAAATTTAAAAGGTAAAATAAAGTGTAGGAATAAGATTCAGGCAATTTTGATGTTTTTGGCCGTTAAAAATATCTATTCTCTTTGAAAAAAAATTTGGCAACAGGACAGGCACGTGCATACTATATGCTTTAAAGGAGGTACGCTTGAGCCTTTTTATGTTTTTTTTTTGGTTTTCCTTCACTCCGCTTTTTAATAAAAGTGGGGTGCAATATTTTAGATAGTGTGTGGAAATGTTAGTTCTGAAACTCAAAATTTTTTATCAATAAAAGTGAGATTTCATATGATTTTACAAGCTAGGGAAAGTGAACTCCCTTATGCGGGGTACATGAGAGTGAAATATTTTCAACATTCGGATGCTCAAACGACTGCCAAAGATATAGGCGGTCATGAGCTGACTTCACCCCCATGAAAGCAATAAATGGAATGATATATAAACTACCAAAACTTTGCTTATACAACATCCAACCACTACCAAAATATTGCAACAGACATCAAGATGTATAATCATCAATCTACCAAAGCTTTCACTATTATCAAAAGAGTAGAATCTGTAACCTCTATTAAAAGCATAAAATTTCATACAATCAAAAGGCTGAAAAGTATAAGAAGTCCATGGTCCACTAGAACAGTAAGATAGATATTTACTCGCAAAGCAAGGTAAAATTGCCGAGAATAACTTAAATCCACAAAAACGCAAGTAAATTACCAAACGAACAATTTCAGGAATCCAAGAGCATAATCACATCACAGCAACACTGGTCAAATGCATCTTATTCATTGAACATCAAAGAGAAGGAAACCTTATCATCAAGTATCTTTACTTCCAAGATTACAATGAATGGATGTTTCAGCTGTGCATTTTCTTTCCGTTTGATCGATCTCAGAGATTACAATTTCAGATATATATTTGATTCGTCTGATTTTCACCCCGACTGGGATGAACAGAGCCTGATGTCTACAAAGCTTGGCATGAAAATCAACCTAGTGTCGTGAACAGCCTTATAAGCAAGTACTCCCAGGGCTTAGAAATAGTACAAACATGAAATACTACAGATGAGGGAGAGAAGGATTAACCTACAAATGAGGATACTACAGACACAAAACTATATCACATAAAAATGAAACACCGAAGAAACTAAAGCCAAGAGAGAACAAAGACAGAATCAAAGACTTCTTGTCAAGTAAAGAGCAGCTCAGGATGAACAGTTTCAACCATCACGAAGACTGTACAACTCCAGCATCCGGAACTCAATTTACAGATAACTCTTTTAATCTAATAAGATTATGAAAAAGAAGAAACTTGCCCAATGCTTTGGTTGGTGTGTGATCCCTCTGACTGGATATTTTCGTCGCCAGATAGAGATTGTCTTCTGGAGCCAGGAACAGCTTCAACATGAGTTTCTGATGATAATGTTAATACTGGAGGTGCAGCAGAGGATTCCAATAGACGCCGAACTACAGGAACATCGGGTGATGAGGATGTCGAAAGACTGTAAGCAAGGATTCCCATCGGAGTAGCCATTGGATGGTCAAATTTACAGTTTGGCCCGAATTTACAGACACCGTAGCGAGAATAGAAGATGCATAGGGGCTCCCCCTGTTAGAAAATAGAAGAAAAGAACCGAGAGTTAGCTACACAACAAAACAAATCTTTGTTGTTATTATTATTAACTCTGGATAGATTTTATTGTATACATGCATGTAAAAGTTATCCATCACATGCTTGTGGGCGTAATAGACTCTATGTAGCACTATTGTTTACCTGTCATGATATTGACATTGATTAAAAAAACATGGCACAGGACTAGATGATCATTCAAGTAATATTTCTCCTATAATTTCTTAAAAAATCCGTTAGTTTATTTTTCTTTTAAGTTTTTCTTTTCTTAAACTACAACAATATCCTCTCTTTTTTTTCTTTTCTTTTTATACAGGAGAAGTGTCCAGTGTCGTTGGACATTGGCATCTAAGTGCCTTATTACATCCAAGTGTCCGACACAGCAAAGTTTTATAAAAATGGAGTGTTTAACAGTGGTTTGGAAATGATCTCATGATCCCGTGCTGAAGAGAGCCCCTTGTTTGTATTAATTATTAAAGTTTCTGCCAGACTGAAGGAAGTTTGTCTAGCCGTTTGCTTTTCAAGCGAAGAACGAAATAAGAACAGACCATAATAGAAGTAAAACAGATGACTTCCGAGTAATACAGCTTTAAAAAGATAAGAGGCAGTTAAACAGATTGCAACTTATATGCATCAGTGAATCTTCTCTGATGTGTAACAAGAAAAAAGGGATAACACATGCATATCACTTTGTGTTAGGATAAATCTAATAGGCTGCGCTGAAAAAAGCCTATTTAAATAACCAAGATGAGCTTCAAAGCATAGTATGAATGATGATTTTGATATGCCAAAATCTGAATTAGATTCTGCTTTAGATTCTGCTTCTTTTTGTCTTCCATTCTTGTAAAAAGTAAAACGCGGTTGAATACTCTCTCTCTCATTTTTGTTTATTATTTCAATTTGGTACTCCCACAAGATTATTACATTTAAGAATTTACGTCAAATATTCACATTTATGTCTGATCTTAGGATTTTGGTTAGCAATGCAACCTCATCAATAAAATGTTTGAGAGGTTAAATTAATGTTTTAGAAAGCACTAGGCGCTTCTTGGTGTCAGAAGAAGTGCCCGGGCGCCTAGGTCCTAGGTTGGCACTTAAAGGGCACATAGGCACTTTTAGCATCAATAAAGGAAGGTTCTTTTCGGATATTCAAAATCGTATCCTCACCGTTTACCTAGGACGGACTAGGACATAGAGTTTTGATTCAATCCATTTTGAATTGGGCCATTCACTTCATTTGTTACTATGCGTAAGCGAGTAATATACTTCTTTTTGATGCACATTAGTCCATATAAGTGGCTCATAATCACCTAGGCAAGCGGCCTAAGTACCGCTTAGACCTAGCGGGCGCCCAAACCGCTTTTTAAACAATGGGTCAAATGATCAGATTCTCTTTCTCAGATTAATAGAAGGGCCTCCAAGGACGATAAGATAGATGTACAGAACAATATAAGGAGGGAGTTAATTAAAGGATGCAAGAACACTGCAACATAAAGAGATTGGTCATTTAACTTACAGGGCGCAATGGAAGGCCCAATGGACTCAAAACACAGTCAGGAGCAGGAATAAATCTCTCCCTAGGATGATGAAACCTGCAGACTGCACCAAACTTACAGTCTCCAGTCTTCATATAGAACTGACACTCGGGCTGGTCAGGCCTCTCGGGAAATATGTTCTCCGTTTGCATTGCATACTGACCTACCGGTACTGAACCCGAATGATAAGAAACTGCTCTTTGTTCTCCTGCTGCTGTTTCACTTTGATGGGAAGTTCCATAATACTGATTACTTCCGGGTGTCCGTTGGCCCTCAGAAGATGATGCTAACCCTAACTGTCCCTGCAGGAAAGCACAGGGATGTAATCATGTGTCAGTCCTAATGAATTTAATTGGCAAACTCATGCTTTGAGATGATCTTTATCAAAAAGATAAAAGTGTAATGAAGATTAATTGAAGAACGAATGCAGATGCCAATTGTTCAGTGCAGCGTTGCTTAAAAGAAACTTTCTTGCACAATTTGGGAACACAAATTGATGGAAAAGGGACACATTTAAAAAAATGCACAGAGGACCAAAGTAAATAATTCAGCAGTATAATTGCCAATTGTTTAGCACAGTGTTGCTTAAAGAAGCAATCTTACATCAAATTGAGGACACAAATTGGTGGAAAAGGGCACTCAAACAAAGTTGTATAAGAGTATACTGGCAAACTATCCTGATTTCTGTAGCCTGCCTCGTCAAAGTCCAAGAATTAATCTCATGTAACAACAAAAATTGAAGCCAAAAACTTAAGATGTCTATCCAAAACTATTTAAAAAAATTCCTTGAAATGTATAAATATGTTGCATATGTGAAGTAAAGAACTCAAGGAAGATAGCCAATGCAAGAAACAATAGAAACTCTATTTGATAGCTTATCTTGCAAATGCCAAGATTATTTGCCTGTGATGCCTGGCTCACTGATGAATCGAGAGGTTGGATTATGGCAGGTACAAAGTTCAGGGCAGGATACCTCCTTTGTACTTAAAAAATGACATTTACCTATATCCCTCCCAAACCCTACCCCCAAAATAATAATAATAACAATAACAATATAAAAATAAAAAATAAAAAATAAAAAATAAAAAATAAAAAAATCCTATTTGCATATTTACCCCTACATTCTAACCCACATTTAACACCATTAAAACTCATTGGAGTAAATTAGCAAATATACATATATTGGAGCTACATAGGCAAATAGGGTGAGTATAATGGATATATAAACAAAAAGCCTTTATTTTAAGTTTGACATTCAACGGGTCAAAGGAGAGAGGTATTAACTTAATGTCAAAGAATGTAGTAGTACGAATATCCAGATTTGGGGGGAAATCTGCAAAAAAGTTGGATTTGGAGGGGTACAAAGGTTAAAAAAAAGATGGACCAAAATTTTCCCAAAACATCACCACCAAAACGAAGAGTTTGCTGCAACTATAGTTCCCCTCATAGTGTCCAAAAAAATACAGAAAAGATCAACACTTCCTGCCAATAGGAAAACAGTAGGATTTGATATCAACTGCAAAACGGTGCTGAAGGATCTCCCAGGGCAGAAGCAACCACTTTGGTCAGTCCTTGCAACATGACTTATTAAATTATGTTGGGGAACTACTCAGTGGCCAATGAATATAACCATGACTATGCAACTTTCTATTTGACGAAGAAAGAAATGAGTATATCATTGTACTCTCCCAAGAAAAGTAGACAATTTTGGTAAGCATGGTCCCAAATTTTCACAAGAGCACGCAGCCAAGCATTAATGGGTTAATATTTCTGAATAGTGTGAAAACTGAAAACACAATCGACAGGTGATCATAAAGCTAGAGGCATCCTAGAGCAACGAATAACGAGTCTCAAACACATTTAGACCTAGAATAGTATACTTGATGGAAAATCTTAGGTTCTACTATAGATCAAGAATATAATCACCATAAATTGCAAGAAAAACAATTAGCAAGAAACAAAAACCTAAACAACATTGTAACACATAGTAACAAGAATTGAGTGGACATAGTCTACATTGGACTTCATTTTAAACCATCATTACACACTTATCAGAAGCTATCTGAAACAATAATGTGATAAACAGGGAAGCAGAGCTTACCGAAAATGTATTCCAGCTAGGAACTTGAACCAAACCTTGAGGAAGAATTAGTTGTGCATAACTTGATGGACCTTGCCAGCGAGGGCTTGGAACAAAAGAAGTCCTTAGATAAGATTGTTGACCAGCTGGTGTGGGCGAATGTACAGAAGTATAAACAGGAGAACCGCTGAGTGAAACCATCGCATTAGATGGCTGTGGATGATGAAATTTACAAGTATTTCCAAACTTACATTGTCCCGTTCTTAAATAATATGCACATTCCTTTTCATTCTACACCACACAAAGAAAATAATGAACCTAAAAGCACATGTGATGTAAGCACATACATCTATTTAAAGTAAATATATTACATATAGTAACAGAAAACTGTTAAAAGATAAGATATTAGAAAGAAGAGTCACAAACCGGCCGCAATGGGTAGCCCAAAACATTTAATTGAACTCTTCCTGCAATTCCTGCCTTATCTTTAGGATGATGAAATTTGCAAGTCGCACCAAACTTGCAGGTACCCGTCTTCAAGTAGTACTAGAAAAAGGAAAAAAAGTAAAATTAAAATACAGAGAGATCCATACATATCATATTCCCTTTCTTTTTCATCCAAGTTGCATAAACTCATCTACAGTTAAATATATATGCTTTAATTTATTAGCTCTTAATTTTATTTTAAACTAATATCGTTCCTATTATTTTTTTGATTACTAATTGAGTAACGTAAGTTTACCTCTCTTAATTTAACACTTTAGTTTATATGTTAGATATATTATATAATTCTCAGGTACTTCAGATGCAAAGAACCAAAAATTACAACATATCTAGGGGTTACTTACACTTAGCCTAAATGTTATGTAAACTAGACGCAAAATTGTAAACTTTGAAACTAGCAAAACCTGTCAAAGCCTTCTAAATAATGAAGGTACAAAACAGAAACAAAAACAAAAACCGAGTCTTGAGTCCTTGATGAGGCATGATAAAACTGAGATTATAGGGTCTTTTCTCCTCTATACTGGAAGTGGAGGGGATCCATCTCATTGTTTTTATAATAAAAGTTATGTGTAAATCTTATTAAACCTCCAATAAGTTTGGGATTTTGGCACTTAACACCTGCAATTTTTTAAACTTTCGTTAAATCCCCATTAAGCTTGAGAATTCCAGAAAACCCCCAAAAAAATATTTTGATTTTCACTTAACTCCCAATGACAACTTTATGATTTATGTAATATTTATTGTTAGGGAGTTTTCTAAAATTCCCAAGGTAATTG